GCCTCTCCCGACAGCTCGCACGACACCTGACCGTTCTCGCCCGAGTCCGGGTCGTTTACATTCAAGAGAGCCACTACGGTGCCGACGGGTGCGTCCTCAGGCACTGGGCTCGAGAGCGACAGAATTGCGATCTCAGGTGGATTATCATTCACATCCAGCACCTCCACCTCCACCTTGCAGTGCGCCACCAAACCCCCTCCATCCATCGCTTCCACAGCCAGGCTGAACGTGCGCGTGTCCTCGAAATCCAGATCCTCCCACAGAGTGATCGTCCCTCTCTGGGGGTCCACCACGAACTTCTGAAGCACCTTGGCCGGCATCTCTCCGAAGCCGTAGGTTATGTGGGCATTGGTGCCGGCATCAGCATCGGAGGCAGAGATGTTCAGCACCGTTGATCCCGGAGGCGTGTCCTCGCGCAGGCTGACGCGGTACCGATCCTGCGCGAACACGGGTGGGTTGTCATTGGCGTCGGTGACGTTGATCCAGAGCTGGGCGGTGCCAGTCCGGGGCGGGTCTCCGCCGTCCACTGCAGTCAGCAACAGATGCAGTCTCGGCTCGCTCTCCCGGTCTAATGAGTGGCGCAGCACCAGTTCCGCGGATTTGCTGCCGTCCTGACTCTCTTTCACCTCCACCGTGAAGTACCCGTTGGCCTCCAGATCGTAGCCTTGTAGGGAATTACTGCCCACGTCCGGATCCTCTGCCATCCCCAAGTAAAACCGGGCGCCGGGAGAAGTAAGTTCGTTGATCTCCAGCTCAAATTTGTTACGCAGAAAGCGCGGCTCATTGTCATTCACGTCCTGGATCGTCACTTCGACGTGGAAAACGTTCAGCGGGTTGTGCACCAGCGCCTCGAAGCTGACCGAGCAGGTCGGCGATGCCCCGCACATCTCCTCCCGGTCCAGCCTCTCATTCACGTACAGGTTCCCGTTCTCCTCGTTCACCGTGAAGTATTTCAGCTGCTTCTTGCCGGCAGACGCCACCCGCAGCTTGCGCGCCGGCAGCTCGTCCGCGCTGAGCCCCAGGTCCCGCGCCAGCGGCCCCACGAGCGAGCCTCTGCCCAGCTCCTCGGGGATGGCGTAGCGGACCCGCTCGGAGTGTTGTCATCTGGTATGGTTCATTTTGTGTGCTGGGGGTGTTTTGCCTGTTAAATAAGCAGGTTCTTTCAACTTCTCTCCGAGGAATCCTTCCCGAACTGGTAGGGGTGAGGGGCCATGTGGGTTTGCTTTCTGGGGGGGCCCCCTTTGGAGGTTTTCTCCCAGATTTGCCCTAATCCAGGACAAAATTTTGTGCCCCGTGTGAGCACTCAAGAGAGAGTGAGAAAAAAACCTGTTTGGAGTGCATTTTGGTTACCATTACTCTATGTTGGTATAAAGCAGTTAATAGCCATGTTTTTTGAATTTGTAATGTCTCTTGGGGTGAAGGCTTGCATGCATTTCTGGTCTCTAGGGGTTTTTGAGATCTTAATACTTCTATGGTCCCTAGGTTTATTTCCTCATCCAGAAATAGCTCTAGTATTGTCCCTAATATGTAGTTTTTACAGTAGAGGGGCAGTGACCAGAATAACTATTCTGCTGGGCTTGGTGGTAATGATTTGTGAGAAGTTTATAAACATGCTGGTGTCTGTTCCAGGAATGAATCTTTGATGGCTATGGTTATGCACCCAGTTTGTTAGAGCAGGAGCAGGGGATGAGGTTTTTCAGCCTTTGCTTTCCTTCTTCTCCTCTGAATCAGTTGCATCACTATGGGAGAATGTTCAGTTTCCTCTGAACATTAAAGAGACCATATTTCTGGTATTCAATCTAGTAAGCTTCTTCTATACAGCCTGCAACTTCTCTAGAATGAGGGCTGAGATTTCTAGACAGGCTGATGAGACCCCTAACCCAGGAGTAGACCCAGGCATGGAAAATCCTGAGGGGTGTGGGAAATGGGAGGATGTGGGCCAAATCCTGAAGGAATTCTCTGACCCTATAGTCTGGGACTTTCCCCATGAACAAATTCAGGACCCAGCTGAGGTGGAGAAATACCTGAAAGAGAAATACCATGATGACCCTCAGGATAAAAGGATCATTGCAGTGAGCTGGGCCTGGCATATGCTTATTGCACACTGCTAGATACTCTAGGGCAGCAGACAGAGGAAGGGGGGCAGGGAGATAAATCAAGAGCTATCCCAGTCATTCAGGCTGCAGCCAACACTCCAGGCTCAAAGCCAGCAGCTAAACCAGATAGTGAGCCTAAGCCAGCAGCTAAACCAGACAATAAGCCTCAACCAATGACTGTTGCTACTAGCACTAGAAGTGGGAAGTGCACAGACAAGACCGATCGACCAGTGGATGATGATGCCTGAGAGAGATGGCGGTGGCAGAGCTCATTTTCTCAGATGATATAACAACTAGGAATCCGGACCAGGTACCATGCACACCGGTAATGTGGAGGAAACTCGTGCGACTTGGGCCACCTGAATACGCCTCAGCCCTAGCAATATTGAAGCGGGATGACACATATGAGACTGTGCTCGATATGGCGAAGAAGCTTCGAGCATATTCAGATGCTGTGCATGGCCCAACTCATGCCAGAATTGCAGCAGTGGAAACATGACTGCAGAAACTAGAGGACAAAATAGAGGAGAACCATAAGAAACTCCGGGAAGAGATTAAGGAGGACCTTATTCAAATCTCGGCTGTACAAATTAGAGGCCCTGGTACCCAATGCAGATGTTCCCCAGATGGAGAGAGAAGATACACCCCACGAGCTGAGCTGTGGTTTTTCCTGCGCGATTGTGGAGAAAACATGAGGCGATGGGATGGAAAATCCACGGCTGCTCTGGCCCGACGGGTGCGTGAATTGAAGGAAGACAGAGCTCAGAGAGGAAGTTCCACCACAAGGAAAGCAGCTCCAGTTGCCCGTAGCAGAACTGCCAGGTATGATGATGATGGTGACATGTCCGATCCCCTTGAAGGAACCTCTAAGACATATGTCCAAGGAAAGAAGGATAACCAGGCTTAGAGGGGCCCTGCCTCTAGCCAGGTAGAGGCTAGGGAAAGTCGTGTTTTTTGGACGGTGTGGGTTCGTTGGCCTGGCACATTGGAACCACAAGAGTATAAAGCTTTGGTCGACACTGGTGCGCAGTGTACCTTAATTCCATCAAGACATGTGGGCACAGAATCCGTTTCTATTGCTGGTGTGACAGGGGGATCACAAGACTTCACTTTGGTGGAAGCCGATGTGAGCTTGACTGGGAATGAGTGGAAGAAACCTCCTATTGTGACTGGCCCAGAGGTGCCATGTATTTTGGGCATAGATTATCTGCGGAGTGGGTATTTCAAAGACCCAAAAGGACTCAGGTGGGCATTTGGGATAGCAGCTGTAGGGACAGAGGGCGTCCAGCAATTGAATACCTTGCCTGGACTGTCTGAGAATCCATCTACAGTAGGGCTTCTGAAGGGAGAAGAGCAAGAGGTACCAATTGCCACTTCCACAGTGCATCGTCGACAGTATAGAACCACTCGAGATGCTGTGATTCCCATCCATAAGATGATCCGAGAGCTGGAGAGCCAAGGAGTGGTCAGCAAGACCCATTCACCCTTCAACAGCCCCATCTGGCCTGTGCGTAAATCTGAAGGAGTATGGAGATTGACTGTGGACTACCGTGCATTGAATGAAGTGACTCTACCACTGAGCGCTGCTGTGCCAGACATATTAGAGCTCCAGTATGAGCTTGAGTCCAAGGCAGCAAAGTGGTATGCCACTATCGATATTGCCAATGCATTTTTCTCCATTCCCCTGGCAGCAGAATGCAGGCCTCAGTTTGCTTTCACGTGGAGGGGAGTGCAGTACACCTGGAACCGACTGCCCCAGGGGTGGAAGCTCAGCCCCACCATCTGCCATGAACTGATCAAGAGTACACTAGAAAAGGGTGAGGCTCCAGAACACCTACAGTATATTGATGACATCACTGTGTGGGGGAACACATTTGCAAAAGTGTTTGAGAAAGGAGAGACAATCATCCAAATCCTCCTCGGAGCTGGTTTCGCCATCAAAAAGAACAAAGTAAAGGGACCAGCTCGTGAGATTCGGTTCCTAGGAGTAAAGTGGCAAGATGGACGGCGTCAGATTCCTACGGATGTCATCAACAAGATCACAGCTATGTCTCCACCAACCAATAAGAAGGAGACACAAGCTTTCCTAGGTGCCATAGGCTTTTGGAGAATGCACAATCCCGAGTACAGTCAGATTGTGAGTCCTCTCTAACTGGTCACCCGTAAGAAGAACACTTTCCACTGGGACCCTGAGCAGCAACAAGCCTCTGCCCATATTAAGCAGGAGATCACTCATGCAGTAGCCCTTGGCCCAGTCAGGACAGGACCAGAGGTGAAGAACATCCCTACTCTGCAGCCGTGAACCATGGTTTGTCCTGGAGCCTTTGGCAGAAGGTGTCTGGGGAGACTCGGGATTTTGGAGTAGAAGCTGGGATTTTGGAGTAGAAGCTACAGAGGATCTGAATCTAACTACACTCCAACAGAGAAAGAAATTTTGGCTTCCTGTGAAGGAGTCCAAGCTGCCTCAGAGATGATTGTTACAGAAGCACAACTCCTCCTGGCACCCCGACTACCCATGCTGGGGTGGATGTTTAAAGGCAAGGTTCCTTCCACCCACTATGCCACCAGGGCTACATGGAGCAAGTGGATTGCTCTTATCACACAGCACGCCCGTATAGGTAAACTGAATCGCCCTGGGATTTTGGAGGTAATTACAAATTGGCCCGAAGGTGAAAATTTTGGTGTTAGAGATAAAGAACAAGAACCAATGACACGGGCTGAAGAAGCTCCTCCATATAACCAACTGCCTCCGGAGGAAACACGCTATGCTCTTTTCACTGATGGTTCCTGTCACATCGTAGGGATGAATTGGAAGTGGAAAGCAGCCATATGGAGCCCCACGTGACAGGTCGCAGAGGACACTGAAGGAGAAGTTGGATCAAGCCAACTCACGGAACTCAAAGCCGTTCAGCTGGCCCTGGATATTGCAGAAAGAGAGAAGTGGCCAAAGCTCTACCCCTACACTGATTCATGGATGGTAGCCAACGCTCTGTGGGGATGGCTGGAGAGGTGGAAGGAGG